GTGGAATGTCCTAGTAGTTAACGAATGTTGGTTAATAAGTTTAACCGGTTAATCTTGGATCGTTAGAGCCCATGATCTATAGGTCCATTAGGTCCCTCTGCTAGCTCATATCGGACTAAACCATAGAACAATGTGACGAGTGAGTTCGAAGTGTTCGAATTCAAATTAGGGAGAATGCGCTACATATATACGATATATGTAACCGCATTTTTGTTTTATTTACGAATTAAACAAAAAGAGAGAATCTGAGATATTTAAATAAGATTTAATATTTTAATCAAATATGTGTCCAAATTCATTGGGATTGTCATTTGAATTAATATTAAATATTAATTAAATAGTTTAATTAATCATTTAATATTACTTTAATTTGAAATTAATAATTCAAATTGATTATTAAATCAAAATGAAGAAAGTCAAAATGTTGACTTCATTTAATAGAAAAATCCATGTTAGTGGAATTTTGAGGTGTCAAAATTTGGTTTAACCAAACTCTTGCCAAATAAACCCCACAAATTTGAGTGGAATTTTGAGTGTCAAAATTTGGTTAACTCAAGCATGCAATGCTTGCCACATCATCCCAAACATTTGAGTGAAATTTTGAGTGTCAAAATTTGATCTCAAATTTGTATGAACATACAAACATGACTCTATAAATAGAGTGATGATAAAACATGAAATGTCTTCTTAGTGAAAAACCTTGAGAAAAACCTCTCACAAACCCTCTCTTCATATATACAAAATCTCTCCCAAGTTTAGTCACTCACCGGATTCCACAATCTCATTCTAAGGCCGGAGGATAGTGGAGAAGACACTAGTGGTGGTTCGAAACCGGTTCGTGAGGAAAAAGAAATTTGAACTACAAAAGGTTAGTATTCAAACTCATTAAGTTTTAATACTTATGAACATGCTAGTTATTTACTATAATTGATGTTCTAAAAGTGCCTAAGATCCAAATTTCTTCCGCATGTGTTATATTAACACCATCAATTTGTATCAGAGCAAGTTTTAGGCACTTTATTTACATTAATTTGATCATGGTGGGTACCATTTCATGAATGAAATTTTTTTTATTGCTAAAGTAGATGGTTTTGGTTTTGGAATTTTTTTTTATGCTTCCATTTGCTTCCATTTGATACAATTAGAGTCCATTTTAGGTTATAATTGATCGAAAATGGAAGAGATAACAAGCTAAACCGAAGAAGATGGAAGACGCAGTTCGGGTGGGTTTTCTGCCTTTGGGGTCCAGTTCAATGTCTTTAAGGGTTGGCTCGCCCAGTTCGTGATCCTCAGAAGCGGTTCAAGTTATTTTGAATTATTAATGTAATAATTTAGTTAATTGCTTGTTTTAAAATGCCAAAATCAATCCACTTTAGCGTGTTTAATTAATTATGCATTATGAATGTATGTTTTAATTAAATAGAAAATGTATATGCATAAAGTATGTCATATAGATTTAAAATCCCACCATAAGCTAAGCATGTTTCATGCATTCCAAGTATGTTATAAGTGTTATAATGCATAGTATCCGTGTTTAGGGTTCCATGAGTGATAAATATAAATAGTTATATTGCATGGAATGGATTATTATATAATTGTTATATAAAGCATGTTAGATGCATGTTATAGGTTATTTTCAACGTCATAAAACGAGATAGACGTTAAAATCTATAATAAATATAAGTGCATGCTCACTTAGGGTTAAGAACCGAGCACAATCAATTTTAATAGTTAAAATAGGTCGATGTCTTACAAAATTGCGGTTGCGAGAAAGCTCACCTGGCACGATCTTGTCTAAGGCTGGAGGTACTTAAGTTGACGGTTTACGGAACACCTACTACCTGGAGATCGGACCAGTATTTGAGCTTAGTTAGCCCAGTTTTATGAGCATGCTTAAGTGATATAAGTTTTAGAAAAATCACCTAGACTTAAGTTATATTTAATTAGCTGGAATATACCTAAGTAATAAGTATACCCAACCGTCTAAAATACTTATTGGGAGGAAAAAGATATATGAGATACATCGTTTTCCTTTTACGCTCTCTGAAAAATTCACACCATGAGATTCATGCTCGGCCTTGTGTCACCCTGGGAGTGTCCTCCATTCGGAAGTTATTTGCATGAGTCAATAACAAGGTGAATAGAGAGAGTATTTATAGTAAGTGGGAGAAGGAAGTATATCAACACCTCCTATGGTCTCCACTACTAGGTTGCACCGTGAGATTCCCATGTTCCACCTGCATGTTGCCCTAGAGCAACTACCCATTCGGAGGGTCGTAACATGGGAGTCGAAACAACGCAAACTCCAGAAATGGATAGGATTTCTTAGGTTCGTTCTCAACTTTGGTTTTTTCATTCGATAGCATTGTTGGGACCGATCTTTGAGGTCTGAAAATGGCGGGTCACACTTACGAAGAATTACTAAGAGTTAGTATATTCTTGACCAAAATAGCGATAACTAAAAACACTATAGAAACAAGAGTTATTCTGGGATTAGTGTTTAAAGTCAAGAATGTCTTGGTTTAGTGAATGAGTGATTGACTGCCCCTCGGTAGCAGCTACTCTAACTCACTAAAGTATCGTTGCAAATTAATAATTTTTGGTACATTATTACATTTGCTAAAACTAATTGGATTAAACAGGATTAAATCAAATCATTAATAGAATTTTCTTTATATTACAGCATGACAAACTCAATAGTATAATTACTCGCTTTTGAGAAATTAAACGGCGACAATTACGCAACTTGGAAATCAAACCTAAACACAATACTGGTAATTGATGATTTAAGGTTTGTTTTAACTGAGAAATGTCCTCTAAACCCCAGCTCAAATGCAAACTGAACAGTTCGGGATGCGTATGACAGATGGATAAAGGCAAATGACAAAGCCCGAGTGTACATTCTAGCCCACATATCTGATGTTTTGGCTAAGAAACACGATGTTATGGGTACTGTTAAAGAGATTATGGAATCTCTAAAAGGGATGTTTGGACAACCGTCCTTCTCCCTTGGACATGAAGCCATAAAATACATTTACAACTGTCGTATGAAAGAAGGGACCTGATAAGATAAGGAACCACTACAAGGGGAGTAAGATTCGGATACCTTGTTGATCGAATATCTCAAGGCAAGAACATTGTTTGAGATTCGAATCACTCCACAAGCAAGATCGATCATGTCTAGCTTGAATGATTCTTGTTGATCAAATATCTCAAAACACTTGTTTGAGATTCGAATCACTCCACAAGGAAGATTGATCATGTCGAGCTTGAATGATTCTACATGCAACCTAAACTACATAGAATTGCAAATAAACTTAGTCATTGGCTAAAGAAAGCACAAATGCTTCTTTTACTATATTTTCCAAGTCTCTTACAAATACAACATACATGTCTTTATATAGCCTCAAAATGAAATTATTAAAGACATTCCAAGAGTCGTAACATTCATACTTAATGGTCATAATTAACCATTATGTAATTGTAACCTAAAGTAAAAAAGTCTTAAAATAATTAATAAAATACAATAACTCTAAATTACTCTAAATTGCAATCCACCCAAAATTTATAATATGAAACTTCATTCTTCATCAATGTGGCATGAATTGAAATATCTTTTGATAGTTTGAACAGTATTTTCTTCACATCTTTATCGAAGCATATTGTATGATTGGTGTCTCTTGGTTCATATTAGTGTTCTCATCTGAATCGTTTCTGAATTCTTTCGTATAAGTGGTAGATTGCATTATAACGATTTGAAAATAAGAATCACCTAAAACGATCAACAATAGCAAGAGAGTTGAGCCCTTAAAAAATTTCACGTGAAATAACTAATATGAATTCAACCACGAATCTATTGCACGTACTTGAAGGAGCTATTACAAGAAACACGTCAAAGAAGATTGAAACGTTTACGTTATTTCTTCAAGGGCTAGTCAATGCATGAGAAGAGACAAAGATCTTTTAGCCAAAAAAAAAAAAAAATTATAATGTTAGTATAACAAATCAAGAACAAAATAATGTGAAGATGACAAAAAAAAAATCTCTTAATAAAGATGACACGAAAAAAGTGTCAAAAAAAGCAAAAAATAAAATAAAATGTGCGAAAATTTGTGATTGAAGAATGTCCAAGTTACATTTCTTGACAGTTTAAGATGGCAAAACTTGTCTAAGTTATCATATTTAAGACAATTTAGAGCATTTTTAGGTTTTTTTTTTTTAATTTTGGCATTTGTGCTTCTTAATTGTTTTGTAATTAATTTTTTATTTGATAAGATCTTAATTTTTAATTTGCATTTAATAACTTTCGAAGAGATTTATCTTAAATAATTTGAATGTTCATTTTAACATTTTTAAAGGTTTTTCTTTTTTCTTTTTGTCAATTTTTTCTTAACTTATTGCAAAATATAACATACTAGAATTTGTCCGTCTTCCTCTCATGTCATAAAAATAATAGATAAAAGAATATATATATATATATATATATATTTAAAATTTTGAAGCATATGAAAAGTTCATCATTAAATCAAATTTGGTCGAGGATCTTTTTGAAGGAAATGAACGATATGGATCCAACTTCCATCCCCAAATGAGTTATTACAAGAATCATAACAAAGAAGATTCAAGAGTTGATTAATAGTTGGATCGTCTATTTTGCCCTAAACCCTAAACCCTAAACCCTATAATATTAATTATAAATGTCTTTGTTAGGCTTCAGTAAATCAAGAAGATAATATACTGATAATAATAATCCAAAAATAATAATTAGTAATAATTTAATTAATTAAGTTATATTTTTAGGTATTAGGAAACCCATGTCATATTTAATCTGAAAGTAATGACGTATCTTATGAAACAACCGACAAAATTATCATTTTCATGGCACAATCCAAGGCAGGGTGGTTCATTGCCAATATCCGAACGAGAGCGATTTTGGCAAAGGTGATATTAGGCGCTCTAAAACCGAAGTGTTACTGCTAAACCAAGCTCAACCTATTCATACCCCAAAAATACAAGTTGATTCACTTAGGACAGCCAAATATGGATCAGGGTGGTTCTGTTAATTTTGATTGCAAGCATAGAATAATCACTCGAAATTAAAGCGCCACAAATGTAATTGGAAATCACAAAGCAGAGTGTATCGTTTGAATACATGTTTGCTACTCAATACTGATTACACAACCAAACATACCCTGAAGCAGCAGATTGAGATCCACATACCTTCACTTTCTACTGCATCATCATCATCATTCCTCTGCTTGTGGTGAACGGCTGCAACACCGGGTAAAACACGAACGCAGGCATAAGATGAAAGTTTGGAAAAATAATCAATAACAATAATAGTAATCATAATAAAACAAACTCCAAGTACAAACCTGCTATATCCACGGTGCTTTGGGCTCTGAGTTGTCCCACCATAACTGGGGCTATCCCCGGGTTCGGGTTCGGCTACTACTGTGTTCAGCCGCTGATCATGACCATTGTCTGGGTTTGACCTCTCTCTATCGCGAGGACTATAGCTACTGCCACGTCCATCGGTAGTAGGACTCCCCCTTTCTCTCCCGTAAGGGCTGCGGCTTCGGTCGCGGACTCGGTCATCATTTGGTCTTTCCCTCTGATGGGGAGGGCTATGGCTAGGGGCCCTGGCATGGTCGCTTGATCTCTCCCTCTCTCTCCTATAAGGACTCTGATTAGGACTACGACCACGACCATGGTCACGTGATCTCTCCCTCTCTCGCCTATAAGGACTCTGATTCGGACTACGACCACGACCATGGTCACTTGATCTCTCCCTCTCTCGCCTATAAGGACTCTGATTCGGACTACGACCACGACCATAATCAGGAGAACCCCTCTCCCTCTCTCTCTCCCTCTGATAAGGACTTGGACTACGACGACTTCCATAATCAGGACTAGCCCTTTGTCTCCTATATGGACTAGGGCTAATACCATTGCCATAATCAGGACTTCCTCGCTCTTTTCTATAGGGACTTGGAGATCGTCGTTTTCTATCGGGAGACCTATCACGATTCCTATCAGGACTAAATCCATTTCTCTTCTCGTCATCATCTCGAACAGCGTATTCCACTGAAATCACTCGATCCATCAATTTGCTGAACAAAGTAATAACAATTAAAAGGCCTACCAATAACTTAACATGTATATAAAAGGCATCTAACGAGTACAAATAGCAATGTAATTTTCCTTCAGATTGTCTCAGAGAGACGAGGGCAAACGGGTATCAACTCATACCTTCAATATAAATGACCTTACTACTCACAAAAATGCGTATACAATTCAATGATAGAAAACTCACCTCATGTTTGTAAGCTCCAATGCTCTAGTGGCATCGTCTTGCAATTCATACTGGACAAATGCAAAATTCCTTCGAATCCTTACACTCAATATCTTACCATAAGGATCGAAGTGCCTCTCCAAATCTCTTGTCCTAGTATGATACGGGTCAAAGTTGATAACAAATAAAGTCTTCGAAGGTCTTGTATTCGTAGAGGATCTCCTCGAACCTCCTCCACCTCCACCACCTCCTCCACCAGGTCTTCTAATCCCACGTTCTTGCTGCAAAGCAAACGAATGATTGACCGAAATACAATTTGAAGATACAGTAAACAAAGTTCCACAAAGGGATGGACAGGAAAGAGTCCATTCGAAGTTGTGCCATATCAATGAACATTACTTTGGTCCACTCAACACGTAGTCTGCGGCCCTTTCGACCAAATTCTCTCCGATCAAGTGCACGGATAGCATCCTCAGCATCTCTCTCATCCTCCATGTAGATGAAAGCAAAGCCTGTAAACCAATCAAACAGAAAAAACTAATTATGGCATATGTGTGACGCCAAATAATTTTTCCACCAACGAATTCCTCAAAATCCAATGTCAATTTTCTCCCTATTGAAGAACACAATAAACCACAAAAATTTCTTACCACAAGAAAAAAATATTCACAACCTTCGTGAAATCTATAAACTAAGTTACCAGTGAATTTAGCAACAGACCTTGTGTATGAACTAAGTGATGTCAAGGAGCAATAATCCAAAACAGGATGTCTCATGGTAGGTCTACAAATAGAAAGTGCCTTCTCCATTATTCTGCAGGCTCAGCTGAGGTTGACAATGTTTCAACCTTGAAACAATGTATGAATTGTAGGCATGCAAAAGTCATGAGGAATGGAAACTGGAAAGCAAAGTGTCGGAGGAAAATGTAAGATAGTAGTAGTGCCATTGAGGATCGGTTTGAATCGTCGTGGAAACAAGAAGAGGAAGCTTGTCACAGACGGAAAACTCAATTCTGAAGAGCCATCATTAACCAAGAGGATTATGAATATGCGAAGAAAATCCTGCACCAAAGAAAATTCTGGCCAAGGCGGTTTAGGATTTAAAACATACTCTCTTCTTTTCTCAAATATGTTTTTAAAAACCCCCAACCAAAAACCCAGCAAAAGTCGCCTTCTCCGGTTTCCATATGCTGGATGATGCCGATTTGTACTGCAACGCACCAAATGCAATAAGAACGGCGACCTCCAACTTTGGGGGAATTTCCAACAGTTGAATTGCCTTGCGGACGTTGTATCCACACTTTCTTAGCGGGTTGTAAGTAACTTTGATAGTTCAGTATATTGCATAGATTCAGAATTTGCAAGTGCCTCGTATCGACATGACACAAATTTAACGCAACTTTAAAATTAATACAGGAATCATAACACAAACGTCCTCTTTTGTGTTTCTGATATATGTCTGGTAAATTTTTCGTTATAAAAAGGGAATTCAAACACACACATCAGAAAAACATGCTATGGATAGAAGCTCACCAGATTTCATATCTACTCTATCAACTTTTCCATATCGACTAAACAGTCTCTCCAAATCAGGCTGTCGAGCATCATACTCAAAGTTTCCACAAAAAATCGGCTTCATACTACCTGTAAAAGATACCGGAAAAGAAAAGTACAACATTTAACACATCACTCTCACAATATGAAGACAACAACAAAAACAAACAGGTCATCAACAAGAAAATTATTTGAAACTAATCTTAAGAGTAAATAACATAATGAAAGATCCACAACAACTATGCACTTACCGCTTCCAAACAAATCGACGAGTCTCAGCCAAAATTCTTTTGAAGGAAGAGAAGAGTTGCAGGCCGCCGTAGATGGTATGCTGGCCGTCGGAGGTCGATTAACGCAGTGTGGATTGGGCGGAAAGGCTAGGAGTGAGAGGGTACCTCGGGAGGACTGCGGCTGTGGAAAAAAAGAGAGCTTTTAGGGTTTTCTTTTTTTTAACCCTAATTTTCATTTACAGGCAATCTGGAATAATTTCAAATACAGAAATAAATTTTTTTTATTTTCTCCCTTTTTTAGTAAAAGAAAATACAAAACTAATTTGAAAAATAAAAATTATTTTATTCTATTTTTAAAATCAACCCTCTAAATATAATATTAAAAAATGTAAAATACTCTAATAAATTTTAAAATATTTCACAATAAAATATAATATAATTTCTAAAATTTTAAATTTTAATAGTCTAATAAAGTGTTCATATAGGGGAGAGATATTTATTGTAATATCTATGTTGTACAACAAGTTTAACCTAATCTAAGTAACACGACATATCATTCAAGCTTACTTAGTCCTATTCATGATTCTGGTATTCGTTGTCATGCATCATCAACTAAAACATGTTTGGACTTCAATAATGTCCTATAAAGTTAGATCATGGTTTAGTCCTACAAAGTTAAAACAGTTGGTGAGTGTGAACACGTCTCGTGGTTGATGAGGTTAAGTCTTCCACAATACCCAAATGCTATAACCAAAATGCTATGATATCAATTGTTGTAGTGGAAGTGGAGGTAGGATCGATCGCACTCACACACTAAAAAACATAAATAAATAAAAAAACACAAAGATTTACGTAATTCTAAGAGAAGAAATTTTCTCACATCCATGGATGATAGCTAAATCACTATAACCAAAGTATTTACAAGTGTATCTCTCACACTCTCGCATTCTCATACTTGCAAAATAGCTCACTGTTGCCGATTAGCAAATACAAAATGGCACTCACTCTACATCTCATAGCAATGGTAGATAAATTTTTATGTAGGCATAGCAATACTAATGCTCATACATGAATCAAGATGATTCCTATATGAATATGGGAGAATATACCAACATGAATAGTGGAAAATGTATCAAAAGTTTTTTATGAATTCAAAATAATCATGTTTTTTTTTTTTTTTTCTCTCTAGTTTCTTCTTAATTTGATTTGCTAATTTTTTAACAACATCAAATTGTTTGGAGTATATATAAATTTAATTATCTATACAACCCATAAATCTATTGGAACATTCTTTTAGACTCTCAATTCTTCGAACTCATTCAATCCAACCTAACTCAACTTTCATCGAGAGATCATATATTTTAAATATAACATTTCTTAAAAACTATTTATTTATTTTCAAATATTTAATTACTAAATTTTAATATATATTTTAAATAAAAGAATATTCAATCGTTAAAAGCTATTTTTAAAAGTTACAGAAAATTAAATAATAAAAAAAATTACAAAATTAGACTAAAATAAATATATGGATCATATATATATATCATTACAACTAACAACAATTTGAACTTCATTCGACCTAATTGATCCAACTCAACCTAAATAAAGTGTGTTGAAATTTATAACACCTTGTTAGACAATTTAATTAAATTGGTTATAAAAGCAACGTTAGAATGATCTATTAATTAACCTTGATTAGAACTCAAAACACTACGAAAACTAATTTTGAAGCGCTAAAAGCAATTTCTAGTTTGTTTCTTGTAAAAGCCCTTATGAGAATAACCCAAATAGAGCAAACTTGTGTGTTAACTCAAATCTGGCAACAAACAGCATATATCATCCATACCATCGCTACAAACTGAAGCATAAATGTTTAGAAATCAGCAAAACAAACCCTTACACTAAAAATGTTAACCATTATACAACTAGAAACGTACTCTTCTCTAAACCAGATTGAGATCAACTTCATTCCTCTGCTTGAGGTGAACGGCTGCAAAACCATCACATATGGATATGCAGGGATTAGATGAAAAATTCAAATAACAATTGAAATAATATAATAAAATGAACTCGAGGTACAAACCTCTTATACCCCCGATGCTTCGGGCTCTGAGTCCCACCATAACTGGGGCTATCCCCTGGTTCAGCTATTGTATTTGGTCGCTGATCATGACCATTGTCCGGGTTTGACCTCTCTCTATCACGAGGACTATAGCTAGTTCGATGTTCTTCAGTAGGACTGCCCCTCTCTCTCCCGTAAGGACTGTGAATTCCGCTATGGGCTCGGTCACCATTTGGTCTTTCCCTCTGATGGGGAGGAGGACTATGACTAGGGGCCCTAACATGGTCACTTGATCTCTCTCGCTCTCTCCTATAAGGACTATGGCTAGGGGCCCTGGCATGGTCACTTGATCTCTCTCGCTCTCGCTCTCTCCTGTAAGGACTCTGATTGGGACTACGACCACGACCATATTCAGGAGAACCCCTCTCCCTCACTCTCTGGTAAGGACTTGGACTACGACGACTTCCATAATCAGGACTAGCCCTGACTTTCCTATATGGACTGCGGCTAACACCATTGCCATAATCAGGGCTTCCTCGCTCTCTTCTATAGGGACTTGGGGATCGCCGTTTTCTATCGGGAGACCTATCACGAGTCCTATCTGGACTATACCCATTTCTTTTCTCGTCGTCATCTCGAACAGCATATTCCACTGAAATCACTCGATCCATCAATTTACTGTACACAGTAATGATAATTAAAAGGCATACCAATAACTTAACGTGTACACACCCTGCCTATAACAAGTGAAAACATCAATGTAACTAAAAAAACTAACCTCATGTTTGTAATCTCCAATGCTCTAGTGGCATCCTCCTGCAATTCATACTGGACAAATGCAAAATTCCTTCGAATCCTTACATTCAATATCTTACCATAAGGATCGAAGTGCCTCTCCAAATCCCTTGTCCTAGTATGATATGGATCAAAGTTAATAACAAATAAAGTCTTGGAAGGTTTTGTATTAGTAGAGGATCTCCTTGAATCTCCTCCACCTCTGCCACCACCTGGTCTTCTAATGCCACGCTCTTGCTACAGAGCAAAAGAATGATCGATCAAAATACAGTTGAAGATATAGTAAATAAAATCAAATAAAAGTTTCACAAAGGGATGGAAAGGAAAAAGTTAGTTAGAAGTTCTGCCATATCAATTTATATTACTTTGGTCCACTCAACACGTAGTCTGCGACCCTTTCGGCCAAATTCTCTCCGATCAAGTGCACGGATAGCGTCCTCAGCCTCTCTCTCATCCTCCATGTAAATAAAAGCAAAACCTGAAAACCAATAAAAACAACTAAAACTGAATAACGACTTGGAGATGAGACACCAACAATGATAAAAGATGAAAAATTTCCCACCAAAGAATTCCTCTAAATGCAACATAATTATTCTATAACAAACATTCAACAAACCACAAAAGATTCTTACCATAAGAAAGAAATATTTGCAACCACCGTGAAATCTATAAACTAAGTTAACAGTGAATTTAGCAACAGACCTTGTGTTGTGAATTAAGTGGTGTCAAGGAGCAATAATCCAAAACAGGATGTCTCATGGTAGGTCTACAAATAGAAAGTGCCTTCTCCATTATTCTGCAGCCTCAGCTAAGGTTGACAATGTTTCAAGCTTGAAACAATGTATGAAATTGTAGGCAGGCAAAAGTCATGAGGAATGGAAAGCAAAGTGTCTGAGGAAAATGTAAGATGGCAGTGCCAATGAGGATCGGTATGAATCTTCTTGGAAACAAGAAGAGGAAGCGGTGTCACAGGCGGAAAACTCAATTGTGAAGAGCCATCCTTATCCAAGAAGATTATGAATATGCGAAGAAAATCCTGCACCAAAAAAATTCTGGCCAAGGAGTTTTAGGATTTAAAATACACGCTCTTCTTTTCTCAAATTTTTTTAGAATCCTCCACCAAAAACTTAACAAATGTTGCCTTCTCTGATTTCCATACGCTGGATGATGCCCATTCGTATTGCAAGGCACCAAATGCAATGAGAACTACTACTTTGGAGGAATTTCCATCAGCTGAATTGCCTTGCCGACATTGAATCCAACACTTTCTTGGTGGATAGAGAGTAAATTTTCAGATCAGTAATTTGCATCTATTAAAGATATCAGCAACTTTGCAAATTGCAAGTGGCTTGTATCGATATGATACTTGTTTTTTCTTTTCTGCAATTGGTACGTATCGACATGACACAAATTATATACTACCTTAAAAGAATTCAGGAACAAACACAACCGTGCTCTTTTGTGTAACTAGAATACGCCTTATAAGTTTATTTAATAAAAAAGGAATTAAAACACAAACAGATATTCTATGGCTAGAAGCTCACCAGATTTCATATCTACTCTATCAACTTTCCCATATCGACTAAAAAGTCTTTCCAGATCAGGCTGTCGAGCATCATACTCAAAGTTTCCACAAAAGATTGGCTTCATACTTGCTGAAAAAAGGTTGAAAACACAATAGAACATTTAATATATCTCTTTTATTCATGATTTAAAAAAAAAGAACATTGAAATACAACATCAGAGTTCGTGAAACTAATTTCACCACATCAACCAGACACCTTTTATATTAACAAGAAACAAGCTTTTCATTTATATATGGAAAGAAAGAAAAAGTTCAAGGATACAACCACCCCAGGAGGAATTGACATAAAATGACGACAACTAGAAAGAAGTACCAAACATTAACAAGACAACTATTTGAAAATAACCCTGAGTGAAGAACATACAAAATAAATCTATAACAACCATTCAGTTACCTTTTGCAAATAAGTATGTTCAACTTTTGTATTTTTAAACATATCATTACCTTTATATTCATATAAAACGAATATAGTATAAATACAATATTGTTACTGTTATAATATAAAATTAAAATTTTTGTTTCTATAGCATTTAAAAACATACAAATGAGACATCAACAAGAAAGCTATTTGACACTAATCATAAAGTGAAGAATATATTTAAGAATCCACGACAACTATGCACTTAATCTGAAAACCAGTTAGCAAGTCCGTGTCAAATTGATTTTCCTAAACAAAAAAATATATACTTTAAATTAACTTTTGGTTCATACAAAAAGCATTTTAAGTTTGACCGGCAATATCCAACCTGTAGGTCCTAAGTTCCAAGTTCTAGCCACTTATAGCCATAACTTTTTGTGCTATAAATGCTATCTGAACCCTAGCGCAAAACACAAGGTGCAATGGAATATTGCAAAATAGTTGAACCATTAGATAGACAAACTGAGCTATCTCATTGACCATCATTACAGAGGAATCAGTTTTGTAAATGCCTGACCATAATCATCCATTGGAAGTCCATAATTCCAACTATTAACTACCTAGCAGCTAGCAGAAGAATATACGAGTTGGACATTTGCATAACCAACAGTAATAAAAATGAAAATAAAAATAACAATCCATGGATAAATTTGACTCTGCCGTTGAATGAGGCTTCTCCTGCAGGGGCTGGAGCCACGGGCAGAGAGATGGCCTTGGCCCCTTGGTTCTTTGAACTAAGGACACGATTAGTGTTTCTTGTGGCGTGGGGGGGGGGGTTGTACGAAGGTCTTTTTCATCATGAGGATGGTGAGCCTAGAACTGCGAGCAGACATGTGCAGAGTGCTTTAAGTTCAAGGGGCTCTTATCTTCTAGGGGTATGTAGCCTGGTCATTCCAGAACAACCCATAGAGGTGTTAGATATGGCAAGTCAGCTCCACAACACACCTCTCTATTCCGCTTGTTCGAGGATGCATCCTCCCTCTCTTCTCTAATGTTGAGGGGGCATCAATCTGCAAACTTGGTAAGCTTCTAAGGGTTGTCAAATTTATCAATCTCGTTGCAACCTCAATCGACCTTGACTCTCATTCTGGTTTTTTTTTAACATTCACAACACTTTCCATTTGAAGGAGGACATCTCTTCCATCTCCCATGTTCATTTCCTCCTTCCTCTTCATCTTAGTTGGACCTTCCTTCTAGCATTTCATTCTACTTCATTCTCCCATCCTGACTTACATACTAGGATTACGGCTAATTCAGTTGAAATGGTTAGATCTAGGTGAGGAATCATTCTGTATCGGTTAACCAATGTATACTTTCCCAAACATATCCAAGTACACAATTCACATCACAATTTGACATAGATACGGAGCCTAAAAGAATGCAAAAAAGTCTAAGAGATTCAAACAAATAATTCGAAAATGAGAACCACTTACTAAGGTCCTTAATGCGCTACAAATCCAAATGGTTCAAGTTCCCGAAAACGTCGCTGCCGACTTGAATCTTGCTGAATCGTAACTTTAGGGAAACTAACGCACTGAGTCAATTACCGTAAGTTATGGTCGTCGCCGTCCGCCGCAGATCGGGTTGTCAAGGTGTACCTGTAGCAGATCCAAAGACCCGAGGGCTGGATCGTTGCAGATCCTAGTGTCGTCGGGATAGGTCGTTTCTTGGGTGATCAAACGCCGGAGATAGTTACTTTTGCAGATCTGAGCCGGGTTCGACGTCGCCTGGTCGTGCCCCCTGAGGAGCTGCGTCACCGCTGCCGTCACAATCGCCGCCGTAGTAGCCGGTGTCGAACAGGGAAGGGATTCGCGATAGAGAGGAAGAAGTGCGTAGCCCTGGAGGTGCTTATAGGGTTTTTTTTTCCCCTCTTTTTATCCCAATTTTTTTTTTTTTTATCCCTATTTTTTTTTTTAAAAAAAAAAAGACAATTTGGATCATTTTAATTGGTCAAGATTTGGAAAGAAAAATCCTCGCTTCATATCCTAATTTAAAAATCTAATTATGATTTTTTCTTGTATAATCTATAAAAAAAATATCTCAAAATTTTTAAAATTACTTTATTACCCTTAAACTTTAAAATATATATATATATATTATCTTATTTAAAAATATTTTTGTGAGCATTTAAAATTTAAAATTGTCTTTAATATTAGTATATAAATAAATAAATAACGTTTATTTACGCTCTTACCCTCTGTTCCTTCATTCTTCCATCTCTAAAACGATCCCTTTCATTCAAAGTGTATATGTGATAACGAGAAGAAATATGGAACCGAGGGACCCTTAGACCATATTTGAACGAAGTTGTAGATTAGTAGTTAAGTGGAGTTAAACGTTTGAGCTTAATACGAAAAAAAATGAGAAATACTTTGAGAATTTGGGTCATAATTTTGAAAAGAGCAGGTACAATATCAACTCGGGTCTAATAGTCCCCGATTACCACACCCATCATCTAGTTCCCTTTGAAAAACAAAGAATAGAAAGAATGAATCTTACTCATATTTAATGTTCTCGAGGCTATTTGTTCTAGCTAATCCTTGAGGTTAACTAAATTCATGGTTTGGTCATCTAACCCTATTAGGCTCATACTTCCCTCGAACATTTTCAGTCCTAGTATAAGAGTGTAAGTCGTCCATCGAAATTCCTCGAGGTTATAGTGCATTTGGCCCGTTGATACTAATCTCTTTGATCTAACTAAGCCAACACGCGATCGACGTATAACTTAGGGATGCCCACATCAAATCTCAGGCTCTAGGGTCGATCCAATAGGTTTGGATCATGTTTCCCTGCTAGCAACCTTTCTATGGTCTCCTTAATAGGGTCCATACATGTCTTCTACATAGTACTAACTAGAATCTCCTTCATTGGCACCTAATAAGCTCCTTATTTCTATGTCATTTCTCGGCTCTATACAGTACAAGACAAGCTTTCGCTAAGTACAATCAAAACTCCATTAGTAGTATCGTCTAATGTGTCACGAGCTCTAAATGAGTACCGTCATGTTCCTATATATTAAGTAAACCTTCATCAGTTGAGGCGAGCTCATGATCAAAGATTGTACTCTAACGATACGTACATAATACTAATCAAAACCACACAGTTATGATCAACCCTAAATGTGGCTCAAGAGGCCAATAGCAAGGCTCGTTAGTCATGCATAAATTACTCTAGGCTTGGTTCACTGGCTTTCTAAACTCCAAATTTCTTAAAATTTCTCGGAGAGATCCTAAAATAAGTTAGAATTCTAGAAAAAAAAAAAACGAGAACAAATAAAAAAATGGTCTAAATAGATTAAAAAAATCATCACTAGTTATAAAAAAAAAAAGGACGTGGTCAGTTTAATTGAACCGACTATGTCATCGCCTTCCTCTAGCCAAAAGGAGACTCCTACGTGCATGACCAATTTTCTCTAAAAATCGAATTCGCTTGAGGGTTCCAAGTGTTATCTTAAAACGGATTCTTCATTAAAGCTCTTACCATTTAAAATTCACGAATTCTCGCCTCTCGATTAAGACACTTCCCGAGCTTGTCTCCTCTCGCTTTCTTATACAAACTTGCTAGTTTCTAGGTTCTTCAAATGGTAAGAAGTCAATGACGGAGTTTTAGAGTTTTTTAACTTTCGATTCCTTCACTAAAGTGGTTCATTTTCAACAAACGAGATTTAGCGTAAAAGAGAATTTTTCCATTTACAACTACCACCCCTCAATCCGTCAATCCAAAGACCTAATACACGAGAATGAGGTGTCTAGAACTTAAATTTTGTATTAAATTGTATATGGGTACGTAACAATCTCTAATATTTACCAAATAGTTCTTTCTCTCGTACATACATTCGACTTAAAGGCTACAACACTTGTTCTCGAGCAAACTTACGTGTTGATCTTATATACTAGATCGACTTTTGGCTTGTTGATCTTATATTTGTTCGAGGTTGATCTGGTTGAAGATTTAGTTAAAATCGTTTAGTCGTGTGCCCTTTATAACATTAAAGAACTTTTTGGTTATTTAGTTATGAAACTCTCTCGATTTTTAGAGCATGATTGGGTTTTTTCAAGTTCCGGGTAATCTTGGAAGCCTTGAAAATAAAGATGAGTTCCTCTAATTATAGCGGGTTTGAGCTTAGATGACACTTGAACGCAACCATTTGAAGTTATTCTTCTTTGGTTGCTTATTGAATTGAATAGATTAAAATACAGCTATAACGTGAAGGCTAGATAATAGCTGGACTGGTAGCCATTCCAACCCAGCTTGGCCTCTGTAATACATGTAATAGGCCTCTATAACGTTCTTTTCAGTGTCACCCTTCAAACGAATGAAGGGTTAGCATCTGACCAAGAAGCCCTTTGCGCACGTACATGTTCCCTTTGACCAACTCAAGTAAATTTTTATTTTACCTCCAAACAACATATTTTTGTCGAGTCTTATCTTGAATGGTTTTACGGTTAATGTTTGGTTGATCTTTACCTCTACTCACTAATCTGTCAACTAACCCCCTCGAAGTTGACCTATCGTCGTTGAATGACTAAATGCATGTATGTTTATCATTAACAATTACCGACTAAAATGTTGTCTCATTCTTCATTATGAATAGGTTAAATCATTCTAAGTTTAGAAGTGGATATATAAAAATTAAATATCTCGGCCATACAAAGTATATATTAAAATTATTCCAAGTACGAAACCTAATGGAGTTTCAAAACTATATAATTTTATTCTTTTGATCACGAAAATCAAATGAGGATGAAAAAGAATGAACGGTAATTATTATCGGCATATACTTAGTTTTAACCTGGCCTTTAATTTTTTTCTACCCTTATATCATCACTGTTTCAATTAAAAAGGCTGAAAAGGCAGAAATTACCATCGTAACAACACGGTGAAATCCACAAATACGAAAGTTTGGTAAAAAATATAACATCTTTGTTAATACGTACATTGAAACTTTATGATCAATAATTGAACCACTAAAATTTGATTTAAAATTTAACAAAAGCTTGTTGGAAGGATATGATATTAACGAAACATAAGATAAGATAAGATAAAAGATAAATAAATTATAAAGTTTAATGATATTTTTATATATATTGATAAAAAAAAAAATTATTTAATTAACAAAATTGAGTAATTACATTATTATTATTATTTATTTGAAATATAAAGGAAGGAGGTGAGGAGGATCACAAATCTGTTGGTGGAAGACCCTCTTCCGTTTCTTTTTTGGTTTTAATTTTTTTTTTTTTTTTTTTTTTTTTTTTTTTTTTTTTTTTTTTTTTTTTTTTTTTTTTTTTTTTTTTTTTTTTTTTTTTTTTTTTTTTTTTTTTTTTTTTTTTTTTTTTTTTTTTTTTTTTTTTTTTTTTTTTTTTTTTTTGTTTTAAGGCTCACGAAGAGTTTGGGCGAAACTAAATAAACCATCTCCTTCTCTAATCTCTCTATTCCATTCACGACAAACACTTCTAGGTTTTCTTCCCCTCTCCCTCCCGTCTTCAATTTCTTCCCGACTGAGCTGCTCCCACCGTCACGCCGGCCATCCTCTCCACCTCAGGTACTCTCTCCTTCTCCAACTCTTGCTCTCCACTTTCAGATTTCCCCCAATCTCACTCTGCTTCAGCTCAATCAACGCTCTTGCTTCATTCCCCTTCCCCCTTTTCTGTTGCATTCCAAACCTACTCTTCTAATTTCGGGCCCTTCTGAAGTATTCTAGTTCGTTTTTTTGTATTCGATTTCTATACTCAATTCTCTGCTTGCTTGGATTAGCTTCTTTAATGTTCTAGGTCTAATTTTGCTGTTTTGGAGGTTCGTTTGAATGATTTAGTTTAAGCAATGAATATGCCTTTGGTTAGATTTCTGAGGCCCAAGTATTTATCCTTTTTCCCTGTACTTGTTTTTTTTGTTTTTTTGATTATCTGATGAATTGGCTATTTTACGAACGAACGAATGGCTTGAGTGAAATTGTTAGGTTAAGTGCTAATGAATTTGTGTGGAGGTGTTTACGGAGAGGTTGTTATTGGTGCAGAAACTGAAATCCCCTCTGTCTTCTTCATCTTCCAAGGCACTTACGTAAACTAATTTCTGACTCTCTGTACATAGCTGCGGAATGGCTGTTGAGACTTTCGGAAAAGCTACAATGTTTGATGATGATGATGAGGACAACATGCCCATAGTTTTCAAAAGGAGTAGTGCATCTAGGCAAAATCAGTTAAATTCGGAAGTTAAGCATTCGCAATCTCAGAGGTTGAATCAGTTATCAGGGAGGCCAGGATCGGATGCATGTTCGACCAATGGCCAAAGCTCTAATGCTCAAAAAAGGATGACTTCATTGCCGAAGACATCGCCCATGAGGCCTGAAATAGGAAGTCAGAAAGCATCTAAGTCCTCTATCCAGGAACCGCTTGTTAAATCACTAGGCACAACTTTGAAAGTCTCAGATTCTATGGATAGCCGGCCCAAACAGTTGGTGAATGCTGCTGTGAAAGAGGAGAATGATTCTATACATCCTGCTCAAGAAAATAGTGACTCTGAAGATGATAAACCATTGAGTATTAGATTGAAAGGGAACTCTAACCATCCCAGTAAAGGGCCTATACCAACAGTACAAAAGAATAAAATAAAAAAATCCTCAGAAGATTCCGATGATGAGGTTCCTTTATCATCGAAATTTCGAATGAAGTCTGCTTCAGGGGTATTGGGTGGTAAACAACATGGTTTTGATGAAAAGAAACCATTGGATTCAAAAGTTCATCAGAATGGTTCGACCTCAAGCGATAAGCTGCAAAAGCCTGCTGTTGTTTCCAGCAAGAGACCTCTTCCTAATGCAGATTCCCATTCCTCTTCTCAGATTTCATCGAAAAAGCCAAAG